GAGTGCCGGCGTCACGGCCCTCGTCCAACACATACACCTGAAGCAGTACATCCTGAGCAAGGTGCCATCCACCAACGCCCCGCCGCCGCAGAAAGGTAGGTGACCGGTTCACAGGCACTCCTGCATGGACGGCCTCCCGCAGCAGTAGGGCTGTGTTTCGCGAGTTCGCGGGAGCATTTGCCTTGGGGCACAAATATAAACTGCTGTTTGATTGGAGAAATCTCGTTCAGTGGAAGTGTCGAAAGTGTTGATAAGTGATGATTCGTTCTATGGAAGGTGTTTGACTGTGTAACTGTTACTCACAGGAAGCACCACAGCTTGTCTTTATATACAAGTGTCCGTTCTTGTGCGTCTCTATAGAGGTGTCATTTATATACAGGGGTCTGATATCTTAGACGGTGTCCTTTAATACAAGGTGTCTGCTCTCTATAGAGCTGTCCGTTTATATACAGCGTGTCTGTTCTATCATAAGATGTCCTTATATAGGCAGGTGTCATGTTCGTATAGATGCATGTCCTTTATATACAGGTGTCTGTTCCTTAGAAGTGTCCTTATAGACAGGTGTTCGTTCTATAGCAGGTGTCCTTGTATTATAAGGCTGATCTGCTTCCTATAGAGATTACTTTATAATACAGGTCTGTTCTTATAGAAATGTCTTTATTATACAGCGTGTCTGTTCTATAGAGATGTCCTTATATACAGGTGTCTAGTTCTAATAGAGGATGTCCCTTTATTCATGGTGTCAGTTCTTATAGAGGTTTCCTTCTACTATACAGTGTGTTCCGTATTATAGAGGTGTCTTTTATATACACGGTGTCTAGTTCTATAGAGATGTCTTTATATACAGCGTCGTCGTTCTTTAGCAGCAGTCCATTATTAAGGCGTCCGTTCTATCAGAGGTGTCCTTATCTACAGGCTGTGCTGTTCTATAGAGGTGTCCTTTATATACAGGTGTCCTGTCTCTATAGAGGGTGTCTTTATATACAAGGTGTACTGTTCATATGAGGTGTCTTTATATACAGGTGTCTTTCTATAGACGGTGTCCTTTATATACAGGCTGTCTGTCTATAGAGGTTTCCTTTTATATACAGACGCCGTCTGTTCCTATAGCAGGTGTCATCTATATACATGGTGTCTGTTCTATAGACGGTGTCCTTTATATACAGTGCTCTTCTTAGAGAATGGCCTTATATACAGGTGTCTGTTCATGATAGGTTCTGATACCTGTATAGACAGGTGTACTGCTTCTAGGAAGGTTCCTTTATCATACAAGGTGTCTGTTTTATAGGAGATGTCCTTTTATATTTACAGCGTGTCTGAGTATCTATAGAGCATGTCCTTTATATACAGGTGTCTGTTCTATAGAGATGTCCTTTATGATACAGGTGTCTATGCTTCTTAGAGAGATAGTCCTTTATATACAGGTGTCACGCTTCCATATAGAGGTTTCCTTTCTATTACATGGTGTCCAGTTATATAGAGGATGTCCTTTATCTACAAGGTGTCTGCTTCTATAGAGGATGTCCTTTATATACAGGCTTCCGTTATATAGAGATGTCCTTATATACAAGCGTCCGTGTATGAGGTGCCTTATACAGGTGTTGCTTCTATGACGAGATGTCCTTTATATACAGTGTCGTTCTATGGATGTCCTTACTATGTTTTTTTTTTTGTTTGTTTTTTTTTTTTCTTTTTTTTGGCTTTTTTTTGATTTTTTTTTTTTTCTTGTTTTTTTTTTTTTTTTCTGATTTTTTTTGTTTTTTTCTTTTTTTTTTTTTTTTTTTGACAGTGATTTGCAATCTTCTCTATAGAGATGTCTTCTATGATACAGGGTCTTGTTCTATAGAGTGTCCTTTATATACAGGTGTCTGTTCTATAGAAGATGTCCTTTAATAGAGGCCTGTCTGTTCTATAGAGTGTCCTGTATATACAAGGTGTACTGTCTCTATAGACGTGGCCTTTATATACAAGGGTGCTCTGTTCTATAGACCGTGGCTTTATATATTACAGCGTGTTGTTCAATAGAGATGTCCTTTATATACAGGGTGTCTGTTTATAGAGGTTCCTTCTATAGACACGAGAATGTACGTCTTCTATAGAAGGTCTGTCCTTCATATATACAGTGATCATGTTCTTATAAGCATGTCGCCTTTATAATACAGCGGTGATCTGCTTCCTATAGAGATTCCTTTACTAATACAGGGTGATCCTAGTTGCTATTAGAGATGTCTTTCTATACAGCGCCCTGTCTGCTCTATAGAGATGTCCCTTTAGTATCAGGTGTCAGTTACTTAGCGGTTTCCATTTATATAAGGCTTGTCCGTTTATAGAGGATGATCCTATTTATATACAGCGTGTCTGTCTCTATAGAGATGCTCCATTTATATACAAGGTGTCCAGTTCTATAGAGATGTCTTAATAATTACAGGCGTCCAGTCGCTATAGACGGTGTCCTTTATATACAAGCGTGTCTGTTCTAATAGAGGTGTCCCTGTACCTA